GGTAAGTGTCTAACTGTGTTGTTGACCTGACTGGTTGTGCATCACGTAATTTTTTTCTTAGGTTTGTTGAATTCTCGTCTCTCATCTTCTTGTCGTATTTACCTCCGTGATTTTTTTGTACACCTGATGAGGATCGCTTGTGTTGCGGTCGAAACGTCACGTCGTGATTGGTTTGTTTTAACATTATTTTATGGTATTCCTACATACGTGACTTTACCGAAAAAAACAACAATGAGTTGAGCGCAGTTGACAAGTGCATTTTTCTCTCTCACAGGAATAGTTTTCATTGTGATACAAGCATGACGCTTGCTTGAGTTGTTCACGATGGCTTGTCTTCTCGTAAAAACAACTTTAGCCACTTCAATATCACTGGTGCTCATCTTGTATTTTTACGTGGCTCAAGTTTTTGTTCTCTTAGTAACCCTAGGAGACAATGCGTTCCAAATGCATGGTGCTTGTTTGTACAGTCTGTTCTCCCATAACGCGGTAATAGTTACATTCCTAAAGAACAACCGCGTTACGGAGAAAAATTCCGTCGTAAAAAAAAATATATATATAATATAGGGTGAAGCACAGTCACCATACCACGTGAGATGCGTATGCAAGCTGAAAAAGGACCGAGGCGCGTGGGTAGCATCTAGAAGCATCCAGCAGCATTCCACCGCCTTGTGTAATGCTACGCCGAGGCAGCCGTACAACCGCTTATTCCTACTTGCGCGTTGTCGTTCTGTTCACTCAATCGCGTTATATACAATTCGCATCCGCGTTTTATATATATAAAAAGTGTTTTCCCTAATACATTAAATCGCGTTATTTCCAATTAACGTAATGAAAACGCGCAGCGTTATAGGAGGACAGACTCTATCCCCGCTTGAATGAGAATTATTCACGTTATCTGCTCCACGAGCAGCAAAAGCCGCAATGCATCTCCCCTTTACCGTACAGATGTTATCTCCCAGGCAGATATCGTTACCTTTGAAATAGGCACCCAGTGTGTGTTTCTTATCACGCAGCCCATGACCGGTTCAGACATCACTCACCACCGGCGAGATCCGTGGCCGAGAATTGAACTCAGGCAGCCCGGTTCAGAGCGCTGCGGAGAAGCACTCATCCAGCAGTGGAATGCCATCTGTGTACATATACCCCAAACTTGTTGCCATGAAGACAAACGAAATGGTAAAAAAAGAAAAATCTAAAATGTTAAATTTCGATTTAAAGCTTTCGTGACTGCAAGGATTCATCTTCTTCACGTGAGAATATTATTGTGTTATTTTATTTTATCAATTTATTATTTTATTCTCATTCTACGTGACTTTACCGAAAGAACCAAAGCAGATCTAAAATGTTATTGATTATTGAATACGACTGGAACAGCAACAATTCATCATACCACGGGAAGGACGGGCAAACAAGACTTTACGACACCAGCTGTAGGCTGAGAGCCTATTGCCAGTCTGCTCAAACTATTCTAAAACAAGCTAATATTTACCCCGATACAGCTTTTACAATCTCACACACACGGCTACGCATAACAACCCTCTGCTAAGAGCTCTCTCGGTCGGTTTGTTTAAAAGGCCCCGCCTGGAATGTTCCATCGGTCATGTGCGCCCGGTTCGGCGAGCGCCGACGGTGCGTGAATGAGCGACGTGGGCAGTGGGGGGGGGCAGCAAAGTCCCCCCTCCCTCTACCCCCCCACCAATTCCCCTCCCCCCCCGCATAGACCACGGCATGGAGAGGCCCTTAGCATTTTAACGCTTACACTGAAAACAAAAAAATGATGTGAAAGAAAACAATTGTGAATAATCATAAAACTAAATATTATATTTTGATTTAAAGCTTTCGTGACTGCAGTAATTCATATTCTTAGCTCTTTCGGTAAAGTCACGTTGAAGGGAAACAAGAAAATCATAAAATATATATAAAACAATAAAAATTCTCACGACGTTTCGACCATAACACAAACGGTCATCATCAGGTGTGAAAACCAACGGCAAGAAACATTTGAAATAAGTGGCGGTTTGCATTTATTTATTTTTAAACGGTGTTTTTATTTATTTAAAAAAATGTTAGCACCACGGGCAGCGATTTGGCAGTTTGTTTAGAAGGACGAGTCCATTTTCATGGAGAAATTTGAGACTGACGCCATCCAGACTGCCACTCTGCGCCCAACCTTATGGAAGAGGTACGTGGATGACACTTTTGTCATCTGGCCACATGGCCGGCCTGCTCTAGACCAATTCTTCGACCACATCAATTCCATACACCCAGCCATCAGATTTACCAGGGAAGTCGAAAAAGATGGCAAGCTACCTTTTTTGGATGTCCTAATAAAAAAGAGACCTGATGGTTCAATGAGCCACTCTGTCTACAGGAAAGCTACCCATACGGATGCTTATCTGAAACCGGAATCCCACCACCATCCATCACAGAAGAATTCTCTCATCAAGACTCTGTACCATAGAGCCCAATGCATATCCGACCAGGAACACATAGGCAGTGAACTCAAGCACGTACACCAAGCTTCTTAAGGCTAATGGTTACTCCGACTATACAATCCGCAAAGCTATCACTCAAACCATGAAGAAGGACCCTCTTGAGGAACCTTTCCAAACCATCACTTTACCCTACATTGTGGGGATCCCAAAAAAGATCTCCAAAATCTTAAATAAACACAAGATCCAGGTCCGTTTCAACACATTACATAAAATCCGTGATCTGGTTCCGTCTGTAAAAGATGTGATTCCGGACATACAGTACCCTGGTGTCTACAAACTAAGTTGCCTCTGTGGTAGTAGTTACATTGTAGAAACCAAACGCCATGTCTCGGACCGCATTCGTGAACACAAAGCAGACCTTAAACACGGTAGGACCAACACCTCGGCCGTGGCAGATCATTGTTATAATTCAGTAGGCTCACATGACATTGACTTCTCCAAGACAGAGGTTCTTTGTAAGCCATCTGGCGACCATGAAAGATTCGTTCATGAGGCTGTCCACATATACAAGCACAGAGACAATTTCTACCGAGAAGATGGATTCTGGTTTAGCAATCATTGGAAGGATTTGATAAACAATTTCAGGTCTTAATTGATTGTTCACGCTTACGGTGGCTTTCAGACAGCATGCATTAATGTTTCGTCTCCCCCCTCCTCTTTTCAGAACATAGATGGACTCGTCCTTCTAAACAAACTGTCAAATCGCTATCCGTGGCGCTAACGTTTTTTTAAATAAATACAAACACCGTTGAAAATAAATAAATGCAAACCGCCACTTCTTTCAAATGTTTCTTGCCGTTGGTTTTCACACCTGATGATGACCGTTTGCGTTATGGTCGAAACGTCGTGAGAATTTTTATTGTTTTATATATTTTTTATTGTTTTATTGTTTCCCTTCAACGTGACTTTACCGAAAGAGCTAAGAATACTAAATATTATGTTATGGCGTTTAATGCGACTGGCGAGTGGCTGCTAAACTCTTTGTGAACGTAAATTAATGGCAGTGTGGATCAATACAAATCTAATTAGTTTCATCTGTAAGAGAACACGGAGCCTTGTGAGTGATAAAGGCAACCTTGGATTTTGACTCGAGTCAAGTGAAACCAGACACGTTCCCGCATCTACATATATGCTGACGAATGTGTGTCACTGGATGCGTCCTTACACGCGGCAAGTTACAGCTCCAGGGACTGTGCATGCGAAATAGTTTATTTCGAAATTATTCATAACCGGATTCTTCTGCACGCGAGTAGAATAATTTACATCACCGATTCTTCTAAATATATTCATTGGTTTCTGACGGAACGGTGGTGCAGTGGTTAGCGCACTGCGTCGTAAACCTGGCCGTACCCGAGTTCGATTCCCGGCCACGGCTAACATCATCGGTGGTGAGTGACATCTTCACTTGGTCAGTGCGTCTCTCCACTTCACCAACCCGCAGCGACCAGCGTGGTGAAGTATGGAAAGAGAATTGCCCCCCATGGTGTGGACCCTTTACCCCCACCCTGTGGGCTCCCGAGTAGGGTTGAACGATTTGGGGAAAATATCTCATTGCGATTTGATGTTCGATTTCATTTTTTTAAGTCAAGCTTCAGGTCAATATTCCCTGTGTAATAGAGTTAAAACATGTGATGGAGCATTACCACATGACACCATCAAAATATGAACTGCTCTATATATTCTAATGCAAGGATGAGAATTTAAAAGATATGAATTGCTTCCATCATGTAGTTATGAAAAAATAGAAATAGAACAATCAAACATAGAACAATTGTTAAGCTAAATAAAGTTGTAACATAAAAAAATAAAACAATTCCAAAAAGTAACAGGACTTTTCAAATCGCAGCCTTTGCGATTTGCTAATCACATTGTTTCAAATTGAGATTTTGATTTGAAATCGATTAATCGTTCAGCGCTACTCACCCAACCCCGTTCAATCCCAGGCGGAGGAATTCTTCCTAAGGCCATGTCTACAAAGTAAACGTGTGCCTATCGACGGTTTCTGTGAAGCAAGTCCCGCGGGCCGCTGGCGGCTCTTGGTGGCCTAGAGTGTGGGCCCCTGATGTGTGGATCCAGACAATACACAACATGTGACCCCTCCCCCCCCATCATCATCGTGCTGCTGTCAAACTCCAATGCTTTCAAATGTGTGGCTGCCCACACACTGATGATGTCTTATCGGCAAAAGTGAGCCGCCCCCCCCCCCCCCACCTCTGAAAATTTGCGAAGAACGCTGCTGTTAAGCGTCTTTAATTGTATAATTCAATATGGACCCATATTGAATTAGTTAATTCAACTAGCAAAGGGCTGCAAGTTTTTTTTTTTCTCAAAATTTCGGAGAAAATGTTTCCACGGTAAAAACGCCCGGCACGCACTCTCGCACACCAACCCCAATCCAACCCGCACACCAAGAACACAATCCGATGGCAGTTCTAACACCATGCCTCTGCGAATACAACGTTTCAAACTTTAGACTCGCTCCGAGCGACGCTCACGCAATCGTACCTGTTCAGGAAACCTCAGCGAGGCTCCCCACCCACTCTCCGCGCGCTTTGATCCACGTTTCTCGGGAGACTCACGCCGCAACGCAGCTGTTGAACCCAAAAACTCTATGGCGAATAAACTCGGTACAAAGCAACGGGCGTTCGGGTGGATTAACTGCTCCCTACCCTCCCCCCCTACGATGAGAACGGAGAATAAGCAGGGCAGGCGCTGTCGGTAAGCCCCTGCATGTTTGTGTGTAATCTATGCGCGTGTGTGTGTATCCGCAATCTATGTGTTTGCGTAATCCGCGTGTGCGATTGGGGAAGCGGAATTTTGGATATGCGCGATGAGCAACGTGCACGTACGGAGACCATGCAGACCGGTAGAACCAGTCGGACGAGATGTCCACGGCTGATCACGGCGAGGTGGGCACACAGAGACGTGCAACGGAAGAAGGCGTCGTCACAGCGAAATCCACAAAGGCACACACGCGCGTGGCTGGCCCGGCACCCCAGCTAACCCTGATCGCAAACAAGATGCTGGGTCCTCAACAATTCCGCCGCCCTCACCACACATTTAAAAATGTGCACCGACGTGTGATGGGACATTTTGAGAGAGCATTGTCGCGTGAACGGCCCTGTCCTTTGCAACTCCCCACCGCCACCCACTCGCGTGGCATGGCCTCGAGGGTCGAGCGTGCGCCGCGTGCTGTTGCAGAGGTGAACGGCGCGACTCCAGCGGCAGCCCGGATTCACACTGCGCCCCGTCTGCTTCGCAACGAAGGTTAAAGACTCCGTGGCGTTGTGCGCAAGAGAAAGCAACCGCGTGTCGTTTGCCCCGGCACAGAGTTGCCACATTTGACAACTTTGCCCGCAAATTGGTCAATTGGGAACACGCATAGCAATCACCTGCGATTGGCACGGCTGGCTACGTACGGTGCGAAAGAAGTTCAACGTACATGCGCAATGAGACTCTTCTGCATCAACACGCATAATTAGAATAAACAATATAACGTAATGATCTTCGGGGTCCGTACATGTACAGCCCTTTTGTCAATCCGCTGCTGGATAAACACACCCCCATGACGCAGCGCGAGTCGTGGGGTTTATTTGACCATACTTCACCACGCTGGTGAGTGCGGGGAGTATAGTTCGGAGGGCATAGAATACAGTACAACAATGGATGGTGCGGCCTCGTTATCCCGCAAGCCCTGTAACGGCCACCCATGCAAGCACGAACCAGGCAAGGACACGCTTAGCTTCCGAGATCGAGACATCGCCTCTGGCCAATCCGCGTGCACTTTAACATATTGCAAGACAAGTCTTTACCAACATTTATCAGCCATCTCATTATCAAGCCACAGTTACCCGTATTCAACGCATTACAAGGCAGCAAACGTTGTCTCCCTGTATTTTAAAGCAAACGTTCTGGGGGGGGGGGGGGGGGGGATTATTGCGTTAATTTTGTCGAGCGGCCGCCTCAATTAAAACTTCACGAAGCATCGACCGGAACGCGCCACGTGACCATTGCAGTGAAATCTTGATTTGAAGCTTTCGTGCAGGAATCCACGCTCTTTGGTTCTTTCGGCAAAGTCACGCGGGTATAATATAAAATAAATCACGACGTTTCGGGCGCAACACAAGCGTACGTCATCAGGTAGGAAAGCAGCTTTTTTTGTATTGTATACCTACGTGACCATTGCAGTGGAATGTTCAGCGTCCCCGTGACGTAATCGCAAGAGCATGTGCCATTGTGTTCCCGGCGTCACGGTCCAAGGAGCGCGTAGGCAAAATTGAAAGATAAAAATTCACCGCAGGTCACTCGGTTGCAACGCACCTATACATGGTCGCCTCCTTCTACCGCAAATTAATTCATCATTATGATTACCATTAGAACAGTAATAATTGACACCGGGCACAAGTTTGCGGTGAGTCTTACGTTTCCGGCGCGGGACTATTGTAAAAAATGTTGGTTCTTTCGGTAAAGTCACGTAGAAGGGAAACAATGAATCCCTGCAGTCACGAAAGCTTTAAATAAAAAAAATATTGTAAATGTTGTGGGTTTACTCTCAAACACACCGGTGTGCTGTATCAGTAACGAATTGGCACGTTTTGTTTACGTGACAAATCTTACGAATTGGCTGTGTCGGGTGGCGGCGGGTTTAACGACACATTTATATTTACGCGATCGAACCCAAAGAAACCTGTTATGGACGGCAAAACTATATTTAGCGAAGGAATTATTTGCGCGCTTGGTGCTGGCGGGTGGGGGGGGGGGGGAAAGGGCTGCTCTATGGTGGAATGCGACACCTGAAGCCAACTGCCGATGCCGTTGTTGTTGTTGCTGTCGTCACTTCGGTTTCTGGGTGCAGATTCCTGGCGCGGAATGCCACTGAGTCAGGTGCGACGCGCGACGGCGCAAGTGCCGTGATTTCAAACTATTGGAACGAGTTTGTTTTTGGGTATTTTACCGGGTAAGGCCCACTGAGCTCGACGAAGTGGCCAGTCACGTGGAAATTTCGAGCAGCCAAATACTCGAAACGCGCGACGTTGATTCTACATGTGGAGGGACAGACCTGGAGAAGAGTCCACGCGGCGACGGGGAGAGAGACACGCAAACTCCAAATATATACAGGCGTCAGGGTCGGGATTGAATCCACGGCCTCCTGTATACCAGGTGAAACAGTTAACATCTCGCCACCGTGGCATCATCAATGTAAATCTGGCTGCCAGATCACAACGTGAAACATTGCGACATTCAAAGGAATGTCGTGTGAAACATTACATGTCATGTGAAAGAATGTCATGTGAAACATTACATTCCTTTGAAATCCGTTCCCAGGATGTTGACTTATGGTATAAATGGGATGCATGCGATTCACGGTTAGTAAAAATATTGGTGATGCATCATCCCAAAATAAAACTATTAATGATGATGATGTTGATATTATTCACGAAATATTTGTAAAAACAAGACTGACGAGATGCGGAGCACACGCGACTCATCTCTGAGAATACAACGATTGTCCAAAAACACAAATGACGCACCGGGCTATGGAACTGGCCTCCCGAATTTGTTTCCTGGCTCTGGCTAACATCAGTGGCGAGTGATATTGTGTGTGTATATTGTGTATATACACACACAATGACATGTATATATTATGTATGTATTGTGTATATATTGTGTGTATATAGTGTATAGTGTATATTGTGTATATACACACAACATGTGTATATATTATGTATATATTGTGTATATAGTGTATATATTGTATACACACAATGACAGGTATATATTATGTATATATTGTGTGTATATAGTGTATATATTGTGTCTATATATTGTGTATATAGTGTGTATACATATACGTTAACCTATTCCTGCCCCGCCATTCACTAACTCAAACTGACCAGCGTGGTGAAGTATGGTCAAACAACCCTCACGACCGACACGGAATGGACAGACCTTCATCCAGCAGTGGATTGACAGTGTGTTCTACATGATATACATACGTGTACAATGTAGCGCTGGATGATGGCCTTCTTAACACAGGTTCAGTCGTGGGTGTCATTTAACCACATTTCACATGGAGACCCAAAAACTGGATCAGATATCACTCGCCACTGAAGTGCACCATCGTCGGAAATCGAACCCAGGTCGGCTGGGTACCTTGTAGTCCGTGACAAAGTAACAGCAGAAATCATCCTAGATGTCCCCTCTCATCTCACTTAGCCCCATGACAAATTGTTAAGGAGCGGCTCGCACTCTGATTGCACAAGCAATTCACACACCGGCCCTGCACACCACATCCGGTCTCACGTCGCTTTCAAAATCCCCCCAACCAGAACCCACCCACTCGCTCAACTACCCAACTATCCATCCACCCAACTATCCATCCACTCAATTATCCATCCACCCATCCATCCATCCACCCATCCATCCATTCATCCACCCACCCATGCATCCACCCATCCACCCATCCATTCTTCCACCCACCCATCCATCCACCCATCCATCAATCCACCCATCCACCCATCCATCCATTCACCCACCCACCTATCCATCCACCCACCCAATTATCTACCCAACCACTCAATTATCCACCAACCCAAATATCCATCCACCCACCCACCAAGTTACCCATCCAACCACCCAACTATCCATCCACCCATCCACCCATCCACCCACCCAACTACCCATCCACCCATCCACCCACCCCATTATCAACCCAACAAATTACCCATCCACCCACCCAACTACCCATCCACCCACCCAACTACCCATCCACCCACCCAACTACCCATCTTCCCATCCATCCATCCACCCATCCATCAATCCACCCATCCATCCATTCACCCACCCACCAACCCATCCACCCACCCAATTATCTACCCAACCACCCAATTATCCACCAACACAAATATTCATCCACCCACCCACCAAGTTACCCATCCAACCACCCAACTACCCATCCACCCACCCAACTACCCAACCACCCATCCACCCACCCAATTATTCACCCAACAAATTACCCATCCACCCACCCAACTACCCATCCACTCATCCAACTACCCACCCACCCAACTACCCATCTACCCATCCATACATCCACCCATCCACCCATCCATCCACCCATCCACCCATCCACCCATCCATCCACCCATTCACCCACCCACCTACCCATCCACCCACCCAATTATCTACCCAACCACCCAATTATCCACCAACCCAAATATCCATCCACCCACCCACCAAATTAACCATCCAACCACCCAACTACCCATCCACCCACCCAATTATCCACCCAACAAATTACCCGTCCACCCAACTACCCATCCACCCAACTACCCATCCACCCACCCACCCAACTACCCATCCACCCACCCAACTACCTATCCATCCACCCATCCATCCACCCACCAATCCATCCACCCATCCATCCACCCATCCATCCATCCATTCACCCACCTACCCATCCACCCACCCAATTATCTACCCAACCACCCAATTATCCACCAACCCAAATATCCATCCACCCACCCACCAAATTACCCATCCAACCACCCAACTACCCATCCACCCACCCAATTATCCACCCAACAAATTACCCATCCACCCACCCAACTACCCATCCACCCACCCAACTACTCTTCCACCCACCGAACTACCCATCCACCCAATAATCCATCCACCCATCCATCCATCCTCCCATCCATCCATTCATCCACCCAACCATCCATCCACCCATCCATCCATCCACCCATCCATTCTTCCACCCACCCATCCATCCACCCATCCATCAATCCAACCATCCACCCATCCATCCACCCATCCATCCATCCACCCACCCATCATTCTTCCACCCACCCATCCATCCACCCATCCATCAATCCAACCATCCACCCATCCATCCATTCACCCACCCACCTACCCATCCACCCACCCAATTATCCACCAACCAAAATATCCATCCACCCACCCACCAAGTTACCCATCCAACCACCCAACTATCCATTCACCCATCCACCCACCCAACTACCCATCCACCCACCCACCCAATTATCAACCCAACAAATTACCCATCCACCCACCCAAATACCCATCCACCCACCCAACTACCCATCCACCCACCCAACTACCCATCTACCCATCCATCCATCCACCCATCCATCAATCCACCCATCCACCCATCCATCGATTCACCTACCCACCTACCCATCCACCCACCCAATTATCTACCCAACCACCCAATTATCCACCAACCCAAATATCCATCCACCCACCCAGCAAGTTACCCATCCAACCACCCAACTACCCGCCCAACCACCCATCCACCCACCCAATTATCCACCCAATAAATTACCCATCCACCCACCCAACTACCCATCCACTCACCCAACTATCCATCCACCCACCCAACTACCCATCTACCCATCCATCCACCCATCCACCCATCCATCCACCCATCCACCCATCCACCCATCCATCCACCCATCCACCCATTCACCCACCCACCTACCCACCCACCCAATTATCTAACCAACCACCCATTTATCCACCAACCCAAATATCCATCAACCCACCCACCAAATTAACCATCCAACCACCCAACTACCCATCCACCCACCCAATTATCCACCCAACAAATTACCCATCCACCCACCCAACTACCCATCCACCCACCCACCTACCCATCCACCCACCTACCCATCCACCCACCCAACTACCCATCCACCCACTCAAC